GTGTACCTGTGTCCCCTGGACATAGCGCATCACCGCACGGCAGAAGGGCTCTCTAATTGGCTCTTTTTGAAGCACAACACACACACTGATTGACAGAATTGTGGGGGACACGATGGGGTGTCAAAAACATCTGTCAGTACACCAGTGATCCACATCTGTCACAGTGTACCAGTATCAGTGATCAACATCTGTAACAGTGCACCAGTGTCAAATCCAAATCTGTCACAGCGTACTAGTGATCAACATCTGCCACAGTGTACCAGTGTTCATTCACATCTGTACCAGTGATCAACATCTGTCATAGCGTACCAGTGTCAAATCCACATCTGTGCCAGTGACCAATAGCTGTCACAGAGTACCAGTGTCAAATCCACATCTGTACTAGTGATCAACATCTGTCATGGTTTACCTGTGTCACATCCACATCTGTCATACCAGTGATCCTCATCTGTCACAGCATACCAGTGTCAAATCCACATCAGTACCAGTGATCAACATCTTTCACAGTGTACCATGTCAAATCAACATCTGTACCAGTGATCAACATCTGTCACGGTGTACCCATGTGAAATCCACATCTGTGCCAGTGATCAACATCTGTCAGTGTACCAGTGTCAGATCCACATCTGTACCAGTGATCAACATCTGTCACAGTGTACAAGTGTCAAATCCACATCTATCACAGTGTACCAATAACAAAATCAAAATCAACAGTGCAGCATCAACATGTCTAAAAAAATTATACACCAGCAAGGAGGCTTTCCAGATACTGAGTATAATGGACAAGAGTAGCAGGGAACTCTCTCTGTCAGACTCAGATTCTGAGTATGAGCCTGTTGAAAGCAGTGGGTCAGCAATAGAGGAGAGAGTCCAAACAAAGAGGTTCAGGGGATATGAGGAGGAGCAGGCATCCACCAGTAACACAATGGCGAGTACAAGAAGCACAGCACTCCTAGTAGGTAGGCAGGCATCCTCCAATAGTGCTACAAATCCTGGTGCAGTGGCAAGTACAAGCAGGGCTGCAATCCCAGATGATAGGCCAGGCACTAGTAGCGGGGTTTCCCATTCAAAACAACGAGGTACGGCCCAGACATACTTTTATATCCCACATGGCTGCCCGCTAATTTGGGAGAACCTACAATTCCCCCTTTTACAGCACAGCCAGACCCTCAGATACAAGCAGAAAATGATACCCCAATCTATTGTTGTCAAATATATTTTACTGATCTGCTAAATTACATTGTGGAGCAGTGTAACCTGTATGCCAGCCAATGTATTGCCAGCAATCCTAATTTGTCATATGCCCGCCCATTTGTGTGGAAACCGTGGAGCAATTTATAATTTTTCTTGGGCTTACTTTGAACATGGGGCTGACAAAAAAAATGAAGTCCATGCCTACTTGTCTACCCAAACTATACATCATATGCCAGTCTATTCATCTTGTATGCCCAGAACATGCTATGAGTTGACAATGAGGTTTTTACAGTGCCCTCCTTGAAATCATCATGACAAGTTATTCAAGATTTGGCCACTAATCAACTTTTCTGTACCTTCAGGGAAATGTTTACACCCAAAAAAAAATATTTGTGTGGATGAACCCCTAGTCCTTGGCATTAAACAGTACATACCTAGTAACTGAACGAAATATGGGGTAAAATTCTACAAGTCATGTGACAGGGCCACAGGATATACACACAACTTCAAACTATATGAGGGAAAGGAAAGCCAGCAATATCCCCCTGGATGCCCTACCTATATGGGGACAAGTGGCAACATTTTTTGGCAACATCTAGAACCGTTGTTTGAGAAGGATTACCATCCGTATGTAGATAATTTCTATACAAGTCTCTCATTATTCTGCCATCTCTATTTAAAGAAAACTGTGGCCTGTGGGACAAACGGCAAGGGCCACAAAGATTGGTCACCTCAAAACTAAAACCGGAGGGAAAGAGCCAGTTTGTGGAATGAGGAGATACTAGCACTAAAGTGGAGAGATAAAAGAGATGTCTATACACTTTCCTCAATTCATGATGACACCTCTGTGGAACTTCAAACAAGACAAGGTCCCATCCAGAAAGCATACACGACAATAACCAGTTCATGGGGGGGGGGAAGTGGATATGAACGACCAGATGTTACAGCCATACTTAGCCACCAGGTGATCAATCTGCTGGTGTAATAAAGTCACCATCTACTTGTTTCAGTTAGCCCTGTACAATTCACATGTCATCTTTTCTAAGTGCACACAAAGATCCCTAACCTACCTGAAGTACCAAGAAGACATTGTTACAGGCCTTCTCTATCCGCATGGCCATGCCCCTGAACAAATTCACTCTGATTCAGTGATCAGACTCCATGAGAGGCATTTCCTCAATATCCTCCCTCTTACCCAAACAGGCTGCAACCCCCCAAAAAAATGTTGTGTCTGTTCCAGTAACCAAATTCACAGTGACACCCAATAGTACTGTCCCCAGTGTCCCTCCCAGACAGGCCTTGTATTGGAGAGTGCTTCCAGATCTATCACACATCACTACACTATAGGGAAGATATTTTTCCAGTGTCCGCTATCTGCTTTTTCCCTGTATGACCTGGACTGTTTATCGGCAATGCCTCTCCCTGCGACTTGAACTATCAACCATGTTTCTGCCTTCCACAGACCTCAGCCTGTTATGCTTTTTGCCTGCCTCCTGATTTGATCTTTTGCCCTGCCACTGTATTAGTTGGATTCAAGACAACACAGGGGGTCTCATGTATGTGAGGGGCTCCAGAATAGATTTTCAAGAGCAGAAAACAGTGTATGGCTTTCTCCGGGTTTTGTAATTCTCTGATTGGATGAGAAGCCTCTACCCCTGTGTTCAGGTCTTATCTGACCAAGTCCCTAAGCTTGATGTTTCTACCTGCTGACATCTGATCCTGTTGATCCACCATGCCTCTGCCTGCCACCTGAACTGACCATGCCACTACCTGTACTGCCTGCTTATGGACCATGTTCCTGCCTACTGCCAGGACCAATACTTTGGCTGTGATGACCATGTCTCTGCCTGCTGCCTGAACAATTCCTTTGGCTGTTGCTGACCACGTCTCTTCCTGCTTCATGGACCAATGCTTTGGCTGAGCTGGCAATATCTTTGCCTGTTGCCTGTACTGACTATGAACAGTATTTCTTCCTGCTGCCTGGGCGATTCCTTTCACTGTTGCTGACCACGTCCCTGCCTGCTGCCTGGACCAATTATCTTTTCTGTGGACAACTGCGTTACTAAAACCACAGGTAATCTTTTGTTTACCCTTTGGATGTTGGGCCTCTGTATGTGGTCAGGCTGTGCAAAAGTCTTACACATGTGGTATCCCCATAAGGAGTAGCAGAATGTGTTTTGGGGTAAAGCTGCAAGTATGTATATGTCATGTGAAAAGAATAACCTGTTAATATAATAATTGTGTGAAAAAAATTAATTTACTTTTTACTTGTGGGAAAAAAATTACAGCCTCAAAAACTCACCATGCCTCTCACTAAATACCTTGGAATGCTTACTTTCCAAAAAGGGATAATTTCTTTTTCAAAGAAAAAACAAATCATTTTACATCTGTTTTTTGTCTGTTTACATCCGTTTTTCGGCTGTTCCGGTTTACTGAAGAAAAATAGGGTTTTCTTCCGTTCAAAAAAAGGATGTTAACGGATAAGGACATTAATGGATGTAAATGGATGATCATGCATTTACATCTGCTAGTCCATAGAAATACATGGGTATTTGTATTTCATCCGTAAAAGGACAGATGGAAAATGGACATATGGAACACCCGTGTGAAAGAGGCCTGCCTGCTGCCTGGGCCAATGAACTTTCACACAGACCAAATATTATACACTGATTGTGGGTATTTTGACCAAAGCAATGTAGCAGTATACATTTTGGCCAAAGTTTATGAAAAAAAAAAAAAATTACTTATTTGTTAAATTTTATAACAGAAAACAGTGTTGCATGACTGAGTAATTATCATTGAAATTGTGAGAGCATTGAAAATTGGTCTGGGCAGGAAGGGGGTAAAAGTGCCCTGTATTGAGGTGGTTAAAGAAGGTTGCATATATCAATAAGTCTGGCAAGGGATTTAAAAGATTGGCAAATTATTTTAAATCAATTATTCCACTGTAGAGATCATAACCCACAGGTGGCATAGATTTCAAATGACTGCTAATATGTCCAGGAGTGGCAAACCCTCCAATTTCAATCCAAGAGATGATTGTTTGATGCTAAAACTCCAAGAACCCCAAAAGCTGAAGGCAACAAATAATGTAAAGATTCATATACATTGGCACTGGCCTCTGAAGAGCGATCTATAGTGGTGCAGCCCTATTAACTTGAACTGGTTGCATTCAGTGGTACTGCCCTCTGGGAATAAGGGAAATAATTTTGCCACACCAAGAAGCAAAATATCATAGTTGAGTATACGCCCCATCTGGTTGTCTTTGCAGCTTAAAAGTGGGGTCTCAACTACCTGTTTATATTGCCCCCCCCCTCAACTGCAAGTGTAAAAATGCAAGCATACAATCAGAAAAAGACTGTGCCAATTTACCCCTGCATTGGGGGTATGAGAAGAAAAAATCTTTCATGTCAAACAAGATCAGAGCAAGTCTACAGTTTGCCATTTAACACATGACAAAGGCCAAGTCTTCTGGAACAATGTACTGTGGACTAGTCAGTAGCATTATTTTACCATAGTAACATTAATTCTGAAGCATTGTGGTAGAATTGTTATGATCTAGGGTTACTTTGCTACTTCAGGGCCTGGGCTGCTTGCAGGCAATAAGTCATCTATTACCATATTTGTCGCTCCATAAGACACACTTTTTCCCACCAAAAAATGGAGGGAAATGTCTGTGCGTCTTATGGAGCGAATATGGAGCCGCTGGCCTGGTATTCCCCCGGTCGGTGCAGCTGTGTTAGAATACCAGGCCGGCTCCTCGGCCCTACCTGTTCCTCAGTCCAGTGGTGTCCTGCTTTCACCAGCCGTCTTCTCTCCCTGGCGCCAGCATCTTCAGTGTGGGCACAGATTGCTGCTTCACAGCCAGGTACCCACTGCGCAAGTGCTGCACTTTGTGAATGGCCCTGTAGTCTTGTGGGACCTGTCACGTGTCCCAGAAGACTACAGGGAGGGAGGACAACTCCACGGAAGTGGGAGCGGGTACCTGTCAAATTCAGGTACCAGCTCCCCCCCCAAAGGTCTGCAGTCTCTGGTCATCTCCTGTACTGTGTCCGCAGTCTCTGGTCATCTCCTGTACTGTGTCCGCAGTCTCTGGTCATCCCCTGTACTGTGTCCGCAGTCTCTGGTCATCTCCTGTACTGTGTCCGCAGTCTCTGGTCATTCCCTGTACTGTGTCCGCAGTCTCTGGTCATCTCCTGTACTGTGTCCGCAGTCTCTGGTCATCCCCTGTACTGTGTCCGCAGTCTCTGATCATCTCCTGTACTGTGTCCGCAGTCTCTGGTCATCCCCTGTACTGTGTCCGCAGTCTCTGGTCATCTCCTGTACTGTGTCCGCAGTCTCTGGTCATCTCCTGTACTATGTCTGCAGTCCATTGGTTCAGAATTTTATTTTTCTTGTTTTCCTTCTCTAAAATCTAGGTGCTTCTTATGGTCAGGTGCGTCTTATGAAGCGAAAAATACTGTAATTCTGCATCATATCAAAACTGCGCCTAATGAAAATGTGAGGCCATCAGTTCAAAAGCCGAGGTTGAACCAGAAATGGATCTATCAATCAAAGCAATAATGATCTGACGAACACCAGCGAACCCACCATAAAACACTCAGAAGAAATGGGTTGCATCCCATTGACATGTTGTGGGGGGGATTTTAAAAAGGGAAGTTCATGAAAGCAAAACTACAACATCTTGTAACCAAATTTTCCATGGAGAAGTGATCACAAATGTCAAAGTGAGATGTGATTTGCACACCTGTAGGTTTCTGCTGGCAGTCACCCCAAGCACTCTCACATTGTTTACCTGTGGTTTCCCTAATATGTCTAGGACAAAGCAGAGCTTAGGAGCTAGGTTTTTCAAAAAATGGATGCATGCACAGTTGTTGCTGGGATAGGGAAAGGGAGCTCACTCAAGTGTCCCAAGTGTCCAAGCTCTGCTGTGTCCTGGAAGCAACTGGGAACAAAGGTAAACAATACACAAAAATGTTGGTCACGCTTCGGGGTTCAGACAGTGGTCTACAGGTGTGCCAGTTACATTACACAATGTTTTGCAAAAAGGCACAGTGCATTGTATTATACTAGGGGCTCTTGTCTGCATGGGGCATTTTACTCATGGAGGTGGATTTTGCCTTTAAAGTGGAGCTTTAGCTGGTCCCTTTTGCAAATATAGCTATGTAAAACATTTAAAATAAGTGCCTGTACTGTTTTAAAGTACGATCTGCTGACAGTCTCAAGATTTACTGCTTTTCTTGGACCCTGGGCTTCAGCAAAATGGCATTCTCCAGCAAGAAGAGAAAAAACAATGCTGAAGGCAATTTACAGAACACACAATTTTTGGTAGCATATTAATGTGGAATGTACTGTATGTGTCTTGCTAAAGAAGATTATTTTTTATTGTTATGGGTAAAGTTCTGCATTAAAGTGTTACTAAACCCAGGACCTGACAGTCACTATCTGATCTCCCACAGTACACAGAACATGCATGCAAATTATTTTAGTAAATATAAACTGCTAAATACCTTTTCTCATCAGCAGTTAGAGTAGTTTTGTAACTATCCATGTTCAGCAGAGCACTGGTTAAAGCTTGTAGGATGAGTTTTAATTCTCCCCTCCCCTTTGTCTGGACTGTGCTGTTTGGCCCTTTGCTGATCACATACCAAGAAATAAAAACTCTTTAGCAATACACACTAAACTGAGCATGTGTGGTTTGCCCCCAAGGCTCTGTATTATCAGCAGATGGATTGGGCACTGTGGAAGAAGTGGAGGATCAGAGAACCCTTTTTACACAATGCAGAGTATTAGCCCCTTAGGTTCCACAGTATAACAAGCATATTTTACTGCATATACAGACTGATTTTACTGCTGTGGGTTTATTAACCCTCCTTTAAGCACTTTAAGCATTATATACACATTTCCATTTATGGATTTTGTGTAACCTATACACTGTTTATCACAGGGACACTACATGCAATAGATAAATTCCTTCTTCTCACATGTTAAAGGAAATTTTCTCTTTCTATGTGTACCTGTTTCTCTAATGCTCTTCTACACCAAACAAATCTGATATTTTCAAATCCCCCAACCTTTTGATGTTGAAAACTATTCTTCTGGAATGTTGTGGTTAGTGCTGTTTTATAACCCAAACTGGCTGCTTTCTTAAATATAACTTGCGTTTTATTTGGAGGAATGGAGTGCAGAATCTCACTTGAGAAGCTCACAGTACAACAAATCTTTTAAAGCAGAACTAAATATAATGTGGTCTCCAATGCTCTTACCATAACATGTAAATATGAGCAGCATATTTGCACACTACAGAACACTTACCTCCCAAAGTGTCCTCCTTAAGCGAAGCGATGTCTGTGCTCCACCTCGTCACTGTCATCTTCTCACAGTTTTCTCCTGGACCTGGAGTATTCTCTCTTGGCTGGCCATGAATGATATACCTTGTATGCATACACGCAGGAGTTACTTTGTTCTAGCATTTGGCTTACTCACGGCATCTTTAAGATGCCTGAATTGTGCACATGCGGTAGTGGAAGAAAGCAGTGAAAAGGCTTTTCTGCCAGAAGGAACGTAGAGATTTAAAATTTAAAGTATTAACACAAGAGCAAACATTTATTATATTGCAGTTTACCAATTCTTAGAGGCTTTCTTTCTTCTATTTTCATCTGGTGATCCTGTCAGTAGGTCTGTTGTTTTTTAAAAGAAAAAGCTCCCCAGCAGAATGTATCAGTTTACAGAGTTGAGACAAACCATTTAACTCTAGCATAGGTGCTTACAGTGACCAGCTTGTATTTATTTATGTAAAATCTTTATCTCAAAAGGAAAAAAAGAACGGTCTTCTGTAAGTGCTTATAAATTGTGATCTGGAGTTTGGCTTCAGTTTGTTAGTGTATTTAAATCTAATAGTATGTCTAACACTCCGCCCACCCAGACTAATACTACTGCTGTCCAAAGGTGCCTCCTATGAATCCAGAATGGGGGAACTCTAATACAGGTGGCGTGTTACTGGCCAGATCACCAAACGAAAACAGAGGGGAAAAAAAGCTTTAGAAAAGAAAACTAATGCAGCCACCACATTAAGGACTGGAAAGCTACAATATATTACATTTTTGGTTTTGAATTTAATACCGCTTTAACTAAAGTTTCATTTTAACACAACCTTAATTATATTCTGCTAAGATCAATATGGGTTTACAATGGACACCCATTCAACCAACAGTTTTGGGCATTAACAATATGTTGGCAGATGTAAATAAGCCTGATTAATCACAAAAAAGGTTATAAATCATTTAAAACTTACATTCACCTTTAAAAAAAAATAATAAATACACATCTTTTTGCAGGGAAAAAATGTGCATTTATTATTTTTTTTTACTTGGAGTCTAGAAAGCATTGCATCCACGTTCAGCAGATCATGGGTGCCATGCAGGACTCCTGCAGACTTGCCAGTGTATCTGTCCACTCATATGACCAGGTAGATACACACTGACAGGAAGAGACAATGAACTACCTAGAGCTCTCAACAGCACCATGGTAGTTCTTTGACAACTACAAGCCAACAGTCGAAAAAGCTGTTAGGACTTTTAGTTTTCCATTCACTGAATTCTGTGAATGAATGAAGCGGCCGGGAGGTAGGAGCCCCACACAGCTGTTTTTTTTTTATTTTAATTTTTTTTAAATAGTGACAGCTAGTGGGATGAGAAGATCCCCCACAAGTGGTTTCTAGATGCAGTGGAGTGCGCAGCAGCTCTGGCAGTGGGAACATGTTCCCAAAGTGAACTTATCTTTTAACCACTTCCCGTCCGGCCCATGTACATAAACGGCCGGACGGGAGCAATGCAAGAGTGGGTGGCCGTTTATAAACATTCCCTGCCTGTGCGCACTCCCTGGGAGCCCGCGGCACCGCTGAACACAGATCGCTGTACGGGACCTCTGTGTGAGGTCCTGATCATGTGATCACTGGCCAATCAGTGATCACATGAATAGTAGTAAACAAGATGTCACTTACTGACATCATTGCTTACTACTAGTGAAATCTGTGAATGATCACAAAGGTCACATGGTACAAGGCTATTCACAACAGTCTTGTACCATGTGACACGCTGTGACCAATCAGTGTCAAGAATGCAGCCAGAGAAAAGGAGAAATGATTGCTTTTACAGCCTTTATGGGTGTAAAAGCAATCAGTGTAAAAGAAAAAAAAAATCTTCATCACTTCCCACAAGTAGTAAAGTGTCACTATGGTGACACTGCACTGCTAGGGTGAGAGTATATAAAAAAAACATAAATCATATAAAAAAAAAATAAAAATGTAAAACAAATTTTTGAAAAATTATAATTTTTTGTTATAAACTAATTTGGGTTATTTTTTCTTTTACTATAAAGATAGCTGAATACATTTTTGCAGATATTTATGAAGAAAGATTGTTTTTCTTATAAAATTGTGCAAATAAATACTTTTTTTTTAAATGTTTGGACTTTTTCATTCATATAGCAAAAAACTAAAAACCACAGTGGTAAATAAATGCCACCAAAATAAAGTTCATATGGGTACAGTGTTGCATGACCGCAAAATTGTCAAAGTGTGATAGCACTGAAAGCTGAAAATTGGCCTGGACAGGAAGGGGGTAAAAGTGTCCAGTTTTGAAGTGGTTAAGCACTTTCTGGGGAAGCCTTTTTAGCTTTGATCAAGTCTATGATCTGTAACCTATTACATTTATTGAGAATGGGTTATACCAAGCTTTGCAAATATTGGCAATTGAGAATCCCAATTAATTTTGCCCAGAGCATGTCTTGGCACAAACCACCGGAGGGGTTATTTTTGAAGAATTTGTACAAATTAAAATTCATAAAGTTTGAAGTTTAAACCCTCCACCATCGTTACATTTTTGCATTTTTGGATCTTTTTATTGCTATACAAAAATATATAAGAATGTATGCAAAACCTGTGACAATAAATTGTTATAGACATTTTGACAGCTGCCATATGAAGCAATTATTTAAAAGTTAATATTTGAAAATCCACATAAAGTTTAGTTGCCTACCGAATCTACAAGGAGAGCAAATGAAAGGTTAACGAAGGGAAAAAGCACAGAACAACTAAATGGATAGAAAGCAGTTACTTGCTTTATAGACTGAATGATTTGTATCTTGCCAAAAGTGTTGGGTGTGCAAGTGTTTTAGAGAAACAGGTACAACTAGAAATTATGATCTTTTCTTTCCGCCAATACTATGAGTGCTCGATAAAGAAGTCTTTTAACAAGCGAGATAAGGTGATTATTGATCATGTCTCTGCAAGAAATGGTGTATCAGACATACAGAGTTTTTAAAGTCCATTGGAGCAAATGTGTGTGTAATCCTCTTAAGGGGAAGACTAAGCATCTATTATACCAACATTATTAGCAACTGCACAGTG